CTAAGTGATAGGGACATGTCAGCGCGTGGTGAGATGGGTTGGCATGGTAGAGCGACCGGCGCGATGCGGTACACAGATGCGGAGTGGTAGAGCGGTCTGGTACTGCGGAATGGTAGAGAGGGCTGGTTGAGCTGGTATGTAGAGCGGGCTGGCAGAGCGGGGTAAAAAAGTGGTCTGGTACAGCGGGATGGTAGAGTGGTCTGATAGAGTGGGCTGGTAGAGCGGGCTGATAGGGCGGGCTGGCAGTGTGGGCTACCAGAACGGGTGGCTGGACCGGGTAGAGCAAGTTGGCAGGGCGTAGCTTCAACGTGAAGGTGGTGGGAAGAAAAGGGTTGACGAGGAGGCGTGAAAGCATTGAGGTAGGGTGAAACGTAAGAACAGACAACAATGGAAGGGTGGGACGACAGGATGGAGTAAAAGGATTGTAGAGGCGTGACGAGGAGTGTCGTGGAGAACCGGCATGGTGGTGAGAGCGTAGCAGGTTGGGACGGGAGGGTGGAGAGGGACAGTTGAGGGAGACGGCAGACGGGCGGCGACTGGGAATGGCGGGCGTAATGGAGATGGCGTGGCCAGAAGACATGGAGGAGAGTGCGTCGTGGTTCAGGGGTGGGGATGGGGCAAGGCGGGACGGCAAATGCGGATAACAGATCGGGACCGAAGGGCGGGGAGCGGTAACGTGGGGTGACGAGCCGTGGTGGATTAATTGATTACTAGTGATTCAGGGCACGTCAACAGTCAAAGACCTTAGTAAGTGTAGTACATGTTTGGCTCGGTAGGTGGCTTGACCCTCTGGATTGCGAGGTCCAGCGCCGACCTTCCCGACGGCGCCGGAGTTTTCCCTAAACAGGCCTCTTCCACCAGCGGGGCACCGCCCCAGTTGGGACAAGCTCTACGGGCCCACAGGTCTCCCGGCAAGTGTGGTAGTACAGTGCATGTAAGGGTAAGTGTGTGTCAAAGATAGGATAGGCCAAGGAATGGGTAGGAAAGATCGCACGCGGTACGTCGCCCGTTTGGTAGGGTACTACTCCAGCACACATGGTGTTGACTGAGGAAACAACGGAAAACTATCGATCATAACAGCCGTCCGCTACAATTTCTAGATGTCTAGCTCCATTAGAAAAACCTGTCAGTGTCGGGAATTGCACCCCAGGACCTTCCGGTCAGAAGCACTGCAGCCACCTCTGTCGGTGTTACGGTGGAGGG